TCCTGCCACACTCAGCATATGAACAAACTATGATGCTTTTAGGTATCATATTTAATAATCCAACCATCAACATAAATGAAAAGGAGTTGCATGTTACTTTCTTACGACTTTTTATTTCGACCCACCTCAAGTTTGTTTATTGCATCATCTGGATTATGGTGTGGATAATTTATAAGGCTTTTGTGGTTTTATGTGTGGTTATATATAAGTATAAATTATAAGTATAACATTTTGGTTTGCGAAGACTTCCCCTTGGCGGGTGAAGGATATATAACTATTAGAGTAATTGAAATACTCAACTGTTTTTCAATGGCTTTAATATGTGGAGCCTTAATTTATGACTTACTAACCAAGATGAGTTCTTGTCAAATGTAGGTAGAAAGAATGTTAATTGGCCAATCGAATACATGTTTTATTTAGAATAGAGTTAAAGTGAGAAGAAAGAAGATGTGTTTTGCATTAACTGATGTTCATTCACTGTCTTCCATCTTTATTTTTAATACAATACAAAGAGTGTTGACTCATAGTTTTGGGGTCGCTTTGAACCGTTGTAATGAAAGTGTATGGGTCTATGGCACCTCAGTTGAAGTAAAGGGGAGTGTTTATATAGTGTAATTCCTGTATTGTCCCAGCCTGAGATGTAAAAAAACAGCCTTACGTCAACCTTTTCCTTACATTCTGCAAGGTTACAGAAAATGTATTTTAGAGTCCAGCTGGGACTGCAGCATCATGGAGATCAGCCTTAAGATTTGTTTCAGTGCCCACTGTGATGTGAGGACAGTTTCCTGCTGAGTTCAATAAAGAAGCTGGAATAAAAAGCCTTGAAACGACCTCTGTGTCATAATTGGTTGGGAAAAAAACTGATCAGTGTATCATCCTTCTGTGTGTGTGTGCGTGTGTGTGTGTGTGTGTGTGTGTGTGTGTGTGTGTGTGTGTGTGTGTTTTCTGCTCCTACCTGTGAACCGGACAGAGAATGGCTGAATCTGGAAGTGATTCAAACCAGTCTTATGATGCTCATTGGGCCCACGATTCCGAAAGGGTGTGTGTGCGAGGAGAGAGAGAGAGAGAGAGCGAGAGAGATAGAGCGCGAGAGACGGAGCGCGAAGAGAGAGAGAGAGAGAGAGGAAATAGCAGGAGTAGAGAGAGAGAGAGAGAGCGTCGAATACGAGATGAGAGGGTATTCCGATATACTCTAGATCTCGCTCTATTCTCTCTCTCGCCAGTCTCTCTCGCTCTTCATCTCAGTCTCTCGGCTATATACTCTATCTCTCTCTGACCTCGCAGCAACAGATTCTCTGCCTCAAGACGTAAGTCTCAAGTTACACAAACACGTCACACATGCTTTCTTAACATGTCCAACCTGCTAACATTTACTCTCGGAGCAGTTCATGATGATGAGGTAATTTCCCCAGAGTTTAACCTTCAGTAACATAACAGACATGCGTCCATTTCCATCCTTCCATTCTTCTCTGTACGCTTTCATCCATTTTAATCTTTTGCAATTCTTCCACTTTCCCCTTTCTACCTGTGCCAGTTGCTTACCTTGAGTTGTCCTTCATTACATACATCTGTGACCCACTATTTTTCTTTCTTTTAGTCATACCTTTTGTCCTCTCCTTCACTCCTGTGCTTTAATAATCCTTTCATACCAATGTCATATTTTTCTTTTGGCATTTCACATGCCCTCTTTAAACTTCAAACAGACAGACAGACAGGGTAACATTAGGTCACAAGTTAGGTTAAAAACAGCCATTCCTCTTGAATAAAGTCATAGAAAACGTAAGAACTCTCCATGTTAGATCATCTATTTTTTCATCATCAATGACTGGCTCAACAACAATAGCAAATACTGTTCAAATCTATTGTGTTTGTAAAAAGAAGTGAAATAGAGTTTAGGTAGGCTATATTGTTGTTAACCTGCCTTTAATAAGTTCTAAATTATCCTGGCGATATAACAATAGTTTTTGTATAAGTGGAGATTCACATAACTCTATATTAAAAAAGGTTGCACTGATTAACAGCGGTATGTAACAGCTAACTGTAACCCACTGAAAAAGCTAATGTTAGCTTGCTGATCATTGACCCTTAGCTATAGAGTAAGGAGTAAAAAGAGACAAGCTAATATGAAATATTGTCCATATATCTTAACCAACTCTTGATCATATTAAGTGAAATAATAACGTAAGATGGAAATATTTTACAACATACTCAAAATTGCTTAAAGTTTGCCAGTAGGCCCATAAGCTAAACCAATTTCTTTAGGTGTTTAATATATTTCTTAAGTGTAATTTTTTGTGAACTTGTGAAAGCAATATGCTTGTTGCTCGAGTGGTAAGATTTTGAGAACAAACTTTTCAGAAAATGTCAACTTCTGATATTGTAAATACCAGAAAAGTCTCATATGGGTTGTTCTCGTGAATGTATCCAACTCCATTAGAAAGCAGCATTAGTGCTTTACACACAGACTCATGGATAGCTGTTACAACCCAATCCTGATCTTTATTAATGTGACATTGCCCGACCAGAGCTCCTTCAGCATGAAATTATTACATTTCCCTGAGGTGAGCCGAGCAGAGGAGATGAAGACAGGCAGACAGGCTCTCAGTGCTATTGGAGAGCGAAGGTAGCTTTAGAAACTGATACTCACAGGAAATACTCATTTGTCACCCTTGTCTCTAAGCCATATGTGATTGCCAAAAGTGTGTGTGTAGCGGGGCAAGGATCATGGGAGTGTGATGCACGCTGATTTTTTGGAGGGTGGAATCTGAAAGGTGCTTTGAAGCAGCACCATTGCTCTCCGCCACATGTACAGTATACCCATGAGATGTGCTCCTCTGGCTCCCTCCTACACTTTCTCCAAATCTCTCTCTCTCTTTCTTTCTCTATCTCTCCCCTCTCTGACCACTAAATGTTCTCCCACTCAAGACACATGGCGATTATGGTGGGTCCACATGAAGACCTGTCAGTGACGTTATGAAGTACTGAGCAGTGTCTAACTTTTTGGTTCAACACAACTCTGTGGCCAGCTGTTACCATAGCAGTTTCTGGAGCTCTGTGTGTGTGTGTGTGTGTGTGTGTGTGTGTGTGTGTGTGTGTGTGTGTGTGTGTGTGTGTGTGTGTGTGTGTGTGTGTGTGTGTGTGTGTGTGTGTGGTGTGTGTGTGTGTGTGTGTGTGTGTGTGTGTGTGTGTGTGTGTGTGTGTGTGTGTGTGTGTGTGTGTGTGTGTGTGTGTGTGTGTGTCTGTGTGTGTGGTGCGCCTGTACCATATAGTTGGGAGCAGTGAAAGGGACAGAGTCATTTGTCACTTGCGGCTATACATGTCTGGTTTTGAAATTGATGACAAATCTATGAGGTGTGTCTCTGTGTGTGTGTTCATATTTGTTGGCTTGAGTGCGGGTGATGTCATGCATAAGAGCTTCTTTCTCTCACACTTCATGAAGCCTGCAGGCTTCACCAATTTGCTGACAATGCAGGCAAGAAGGAGTGTGTGTTTGCGTCTGCATGTGCATGTGTGTATTTGTATTGCTTTCTTTGGACGTTCTCTGCAGACCACAGGGAAACATTCAAACTCCATCATGCACGCCTGCCATCCAACATTATCACGCCCGCTGCCTCTGTGTGCATGTGCACAAAAACACGGGTGTCCATTTGTGTATGTTTTGCTCTTTTCAGTCTGAGAGGCACAGAAATTCTAGCTAGCAGGCCTGCTATAGAGTTTGAGACGTAAACTGGACGGATGGCTAGTTTAATCTGCCGTTAATCAGCTCCCCGGAAAACTCACTCAAGCATCAGACACTGCAGATTGCTCTGCCTCTCCCTGTAACTTTGTGCTTTTCCCAGTCATCACTCTACTTTCCCCCAGAATCACTCCATGACACGCCCCACCTGCCTCCACGCTTTACCCCTAATCATAAGTGCGGTTGCCTCCTGGCTCTCTCCTCTTCCTCTTTTTGTGTGTGATGCTGAGAAGCCCTCAGGATTAAATCTAAGTCCTTTGTTTATCATCTCAGCTATTACTGTTAATGCTGGCTCTCCCTCTCTCTTGCTGCGTGTGTGTGAGTGCGTGTGTGTGTCCACGCATGCATGTGTGGGCAAGCTCTCAGATCAAACACAGCGTAAGATGAGCCCATAAACAAGCCTTCAGGACCACTTAGGGTTTTCAGGGAGAGTCAGTTTCTGTGCACGGAGGGGGAGTTAGGTACAGAAATCAGCTGCTCTGTTTATGTACCTTTCAGTGGTGATTACCGGTCCAATCTGTCTGTTAAACAGAGGAAATATCATAGCCTTGCAGTGTGCGTGTGTGCTTATGTGTGTGTTTGTGAGATGCATGGGGTACAGTTGCAGTGCAGAGAGGGCTGGAGAGATGCCACGAGTTGCGTGGAATTAGAGCGCTGGTGCAGCAGTAAGTGTTTATTTACTCGTACATACAACTTAAACCAAGTCAGGAGAGTGTAAGCAGAGGAAGCAGGGGACCACCACAGACCAGAGGATTGAGGATATGTGTCAGACATACAGTACAGCCTTGGAACAGGCCTGTGTTTCCACACAGCGCAGTGAAGGCGGCGTACTGTGTGTCATTGAGTGGGCAATCGCACTGGCAGGTAGTGCCCGGCCTGTAGGAGGGAATATATTTACAGAGTCCGTTTACAGAGTGGAATATTCACAGAGATGAATGGTCTACTATAACTCAAAATATAATTTTCATTACATTACTGTGCATTATAATTTAGTCATTTTTGTGTCATGTGCTTTACATAATAAAGTAAAGAGAGACAGGCTTAACCAAAAGTGTAAATAGTTCATGTCATTAGGTTTGGTCAAATCTGTATAGGAAACAGATTTTTCCTGATTGGGAGCATTAGTATGACACACAAATAAGGGTTGCTTCCATTGGCGGCCACAAGATGGCGGCAAAGCTACACAAAGAACTCTCAAGAGAGGATGCTGGAGGCAATAAATGAATCCATAAATTGTTTCAGTGGCCACTGTCAAACCAGCAATAAAGATCGTCTAAATTACCTCTGGTGCAAGCTGTTTATATATGTCATTTATCTTACATTTTATGCAGTGTTTCTAGCTTCCGCTCTGGACGTCCTAATCCCCTCCAGCCACCGGAAGCTGTAAATAAAGCCGTGCTTGCAAAGTGCGTCACAGTGCGGAGCTGCAGAGAGTAAACGAGTCTGTCTGCAGTCTGGTCGCACCGACACTATCCTTTCTCCTATTTATACAAGAAACCCGAGCTAACGGTTCCTCTCCACCAGCAGTATGGTGAAGATAGCTTTTAACTCAGCTCTGGCGCAGAAGGCGCTGGGCAAAGAGGTACCCGCCGCTGAGAAGGTGAGCTAACGGGATTCAGAGCGATGCAGCCCGGTGTCCGTCATTAGCCTGGTAGTAGCAGGCCTGCACAGACCGCCGGCACTCTACTGTAAACGTGGACTCCTTCTATGTGCCTTTTTAATGCATATTCTGTAGCGTTTTGTTAACATTATATTGAGGTTTTCAGTGTATTCGGCTTAATGATTGGCGTGCTATACTGCACCTGATACAGCAGGACAAAATGGGACCGCCCATCTTCTGAACATCAACACAGCTGTTCTGCACAGGCCAAACATTCACGGGATTAGAGATGGCTGATTCAAAGCTGTATGTGTTGAATGTTGATATTAAATGCATGTAATGTTATGGGTTTACAGTGGATTTGCTGACGGCATTGCGTGTGTGTGTGTGTTAGGATCCTGAGCTGGCCTCTGCTCCGGCGGGCATCGAGGGCTCCACAGGTCGCTGCCTGCTCACCCTGCTGGGCATCGCCTTCATCCTCAGCGGGCTCATCGTGGGGGGAGCATGTCTCTATCGATATTTCACCCCAAAGGTAAACATGTGTGTGTTTGTTCATATTGATATTACCAAGGGGGGTTAGTATTGGAGTTTTCTAAGTATTGTTGTTCTGAAACTCACACTGGGGCAGTCCACCTGACATGGGTAGGCCTAGAGATGCCACAGGGTCTGTCATGTGATCCATATATTACAGTTTATGTAAGAGACACAGAATGTGAAGTCGCACACACTGTTCAAATTAGCTCCTTTGACACTACAGCATTTGTCGAAATGTTTAATCTGCATTTCAATTCGCAATCAATGTTTGTACACATTTTTACATTAAAATCCAGAAGGCAACAGTTTATTACTATGTGGGGCAGCCTATTTCACACTTCATCATGCAAGGGCTTTCAGAGTTATTTTGTGTACATTTATTTTTGCAATTAACAAGATAAACTAAAAGGCAGCTATCCTCCCTACCCATTTATTCCTGTTACAGGCAGCAATCTTATTTTTGTAAAACATTTCTATTAAAGTCGCAGATTTCTCAATCGCAAATTGAGAAATGCTAGACCAATTTTAGTAACAAGATTGTTTAAATGTTAAAACTTAACATGAATACATGTTAAATTAAAGATATTTTAGGTCTGCCTTTGTGCAATTGCAATCAGTTTATAAAACCTTTTTAAAATATGTTAATAAAATATATTATACACTCTTTATTCTGCCGTCATGCCATCTTTTGCCAAACCACTTATATTAGCCCACAGCGGACTGGAGTAGATCTCAAATAACCTTATGCTCTGAATCCAGATTCAATTTTGAACTGCGTATTATTTCTTTAAGTGAATCATGAACCCAGGAGTAGACTTAGAATCACAAGATACCAAAAGATTCACTTCCACATCGGCAAGCTCTACCTGCTCTGTCCCTCAGGTTATATTGAAACAATGCACATTTTTAAGTGTGGTTCCACTGAAATTGTTGGCCTCATTCTCAATAGTATTTAATTAGCTTTTATTTCAGTTGGGTAAGAGTTATTGAGGCTCTTTCACTGCTGATCAACACTCTTGCCTTGGCGGGAAACTAAAATGCTTACTGTTGCTCTCTTCCGTTTTCAGAGAAAGTGCAGACTTAATCTTTTTAAGTATTGCTGCGTTGTTTGTTACGAGTTCTTGCATTCAATATCTGTGCCCCTAAGGTTTTCTTATGCGAATAAAGCAAAGCCTAAAATGGCTTGTTTAACTATTAATTAGGGCCGGGACTTTAACGCGTTAATTAAGATTAATTAATTACACAAAAATTAACGCGTTAAAAAAATTAACGCATTTTAATCGCACTTATTTTTGCACAGCGGAACGTTTCTCACTGGATGAGTTTCAGGCGTACCGATTATACTGGAGCACCAACTAACGTTCATGACTTCAGACAACAACAAACCACAGTGAACAACAGTGGGAAATGTTGTTTTAAAAAACGGACGGATGGAAGCGTCGATAAGAGCACGGTTGTGTGCAAATTATGCAAAAAGGAATTCGCATATCACCGCAGCACATCAAGCCTCAAGTATCACCTCAATGCAAAACATATAGCAGCTAGCGTGAAGCTAGCGTGGACGTTAGCCTCTTTTATTGCGTTCACACCAAAAAGAGCCGGTACTAAAATTAGTTCATGAGAACCTTTTTACCCCCACGAAAGTCCCTGCTAGAGAGCAGAGAGCTGCTAGAGCGCAGGGACTTTCGTACGGCTCTCTTGTGAGAAAAGAGCTATATTTCTGATTGGCTGGGCGGATTGCAAACCACGCCCCGTAAAACTCCCAAAAAGTTTTGTGAAGCCGCCATTTTATTATCCTCGCATTAGCATTATTAGCATTAGCCCAGCGCAGAAACGCAGAGAGACTAACTTATGGCAACACAAAATAAAACATGGGAGCGGTGGAGATGAGGAGGTGTCGGCGTTCTGGCGATTTACTCGGAAGGCTGCTGGGACTCCCAGCAGCTTCTACTGAAGCCAGTCCCCAACTCCGGGGACTTCCGGCCGGGGACTTTGGGCGGCAGTATACGCCGTGAAGTGGTTTGCGGCCTGCCAGTAAACCCAAAGCAGAAGAAGAAGTGACGTCAGCGGCTTCATTTGCCTAATCCACCCCCAGGTTCAAAGAGTTCTCATGAACTCAATTCTCATGAACCTTTGTGGGAAAAGTACTGCGGTGTGAATGTGCCTAATGGTATACTAAAATCCATGTGAAAAAAAATTGCTTCTCACTGTTCTTAGGTCAAATATGTATATGCGATTAAAAATGCGATTAATTTCGATTAATTAATTACAAAGCCTCTAATTAATTAGATTAATTTTTTTAATCGAGTCCCAGCCCTACTATTAATACAATGCATTAACACTTCATATGAAATTCAACTTTGTTTAGGAGCTTTATTCCACTCACACATTACATTAGTTAACCTTATTCTTACCCTAATTCTTTTATTTGTTTGTATCTAATCACATTAGTACATGAATGTGCTTGTCAAACTGTCTTAACAGCTACACTGTAGTTGTTGGCAATGTACACCATAAGCCTTATGCTCCTCTGACAGTGCAACATAAAATGTACTTAAGACATTAAAGAAATAAGGAAGTAAAATATTGTGATTAAAGAAAATAGTGCAAGTAATATAATGGTGCAAGTCAAATGCATGAATATATACTTGGATACAAAAAAAATGCAAGATTATATACTGTACCGTAGAATAAATACTGTAGTGATGAATACATATCACACATATGATTCTACAAATTGTACTGAGAATAAAACATCAGTCTACAACATTGAAAAAAACCTGCAAAAAACATAGTTACAATTTCTCCAAATGTACAATATTGAAAGGGAGAGTACTGGCTGCCCTCTAGTGGTCTTTTAATGCAGCTTTTAGCTTAGTGAGAACCTTTCACCAAATCCTGAAGCTTCTATGCAGAAACGATGAAATGGTGCCACTGCAAACCATACTGCTGCAGTATGTTATTTGTTTATTAAGACTAGTGCTGTTTGCTTGCAGAGCCGACAGGTAGTGAGGTCATATCGGCTGCTTCAGTGTTAGACCAGCTAACGCACTTGTGGTTGCAGAGACCCACCTCACCACGCGTTAAACACAACAACGTACTTCAGTGGCACGAGTTGTTGTGGTTCCTGTTCCTGTTCTGAACGTGACCCCTCACTGAAATACTCGTAATGCAGCTGAAGAAAGCAGAGATACAAAATTAAGCCAATTCAGCATTAATATATTATTAATACTTATACACCTTTGTATATATTGTAATATAAAGATCATATGTTGTAGATGAATGTGCACATACTATATTCCATTCCATTTTATTTAAACTTTTGAAGTTCTTGTGTTTTTATAAATCTTTATACATTTACATTTTTATCTTTTTACTGCTCATTCTTGCTTAACTTCTTATGTTAAAGGGGACCTATCATGCAAAATGCGCTTTTGTACGTCGAATATGTGTCCCCGTTGTGTCAGGGAACTCACCAAGTGTCAGAAAACACAACCCTCTCTCTTTTCCTCCATACCCAAATCTCTAAAAACGGGGCTGCAACGGATCTGAAACAGACTGATACAGATTTGAAATATCTCTGACGTCAGAAACGAGGAGCTCCGCCTATATGGGCAACTCTCCACCTATCAGGAGGAGACAGCCATTGCCGTTCGAAAGTGCTGGAGACGCTGTAGTACATATGCCAGGCCTGTAGGTGGCGCTGTCGTCTGCCACAAAAGCAGCGAAGAAGACTTCTCACAGATTTAGCCCTTGCAAAAACAGGGCTAAAAAAGAGCAAATAGAGTGAAATGAGGCATGGCTAAAATGCATAATCTGTTGAAAAAAAACTTCGCAGACATGTTTTATATAGGTATGGCCCTACAATATGTTATTCAAATATAGCATGATAGGTCCACTTTAATATAAAGATTTGTATTCTTTAATTTTTTTTATTACATTTTTCAAGGAGAGTAACTGTCAAAACCCAATCTTGATAATGTCAAGTATTCTGAGACCACCACAAAATCACAGTACATCTGTTAACAAGGAAGTCATCTGATATTGTGTGTTTGTGTTCTCCAGAGGATGTACCACGGCGCCATGCAGTTCAGTGACGTGTCCTCCGGGGGGGAGAGCCAGCCCTACTACCTGCCCCGGGTGGAGGAGGAGGTGGAGATCTCTGACAGCATGGCCGTCATCAGCGTGCCCCCTCCCCGCTTCAGAGCCGGGGACCCCGCCTACATCCTCCATGACTTCAACAGGGTATCTGAACATCTCCACAATTTTTTTTCCTGAACGAAATATTGCCTGTTGTGTTTACATAGGAGTTTATAGCCAATATAATGCCTGAACAAAATAGCAGAAGGTTTTCCTTTCCATTACAAGATTTGGCATCGTTCAGACATGGCCATTTTTTTAAAAACAGACCCCAAGAGACCATTTTATTTATTGTTTTGGTTGTGTGGTTTCGCTTTATTTATGATTTAGTGATTTAGGGTATTTTAATACAATCCAGTGCCTATAGTCTTCTTAAGAATTGAAAGTTCATTGCTCTTTAAAAGGGCGTAATTGAATTTTAATGCTATTAAACAAACATTTTATTAGTGGTATTAGATGGTCTTAAAAGGACAATACAATTACTTCTGGGAGAATCTACGTGGCTTTCTCCATCAAAATCAAAACATTGTCTCTGAAACACATTTGAGCTGCATACATTGAAATAGAAGTTTCTTAGCTTTCCAATTCTGAGAAAAAAGGCTTCAAAGTTAAAGTTTGTATGAGAAGAATGATCGGTGATCCCTGATCTTGTTATCTTGCCTTTATCAGCTTTAAGAATGTGATTATCATCTGAATATGGTGGTAAGAGTATTGTATTCTAAAAGCCAAGTCTTTGTTTGTTTAAAATCAACCAAAACAACCATGACACGAGTTTTAAACATAAATCCATGAATGAGTCGTTGCGACATCTGACTGATTTAGTTAGAGCGGGTCACATATCGTCCAACAAAGTCGTAATTGTGACCGGCCTACACACAGTACTGTACATACTGTTAATGTACTTTAAACTCTTTCCTGATTTCTTCATATGTGTGTGAGCAGAAGCTGACGGCATATCTGGACCTGACTCTGAGGACGTGCTTTGTGATCCCTCTGAACACCTCAGTGGTGCTCCCCCCTCAGGACCTCATCGACCTGTTCTCCCAGCTGATGGTGAGTCATGATCAGCACAGCACCATCTCAGGATGCAGCCGGCTGTAGAGAAATGTATCTTCATGATGGAGAAACCACACCGGCACAGCGTTCTCACTCAGGCATAAGCACTTAATATTACCTGGTGAAATCCAGGGGGTTTATAGTAATTCCATATATTGTCTGTGCTTTAATCCTCTGCAAATCTGTCATGTGTGTAATTTGTTGAGTAAAACAAATCCAGCCTACATCATCTTCCACTATCCCCTGACATTCAGTGTTAGCAGCACTGCATGAGTAATCTCCATCAGAATGTATTACTTACATAATGAAACTCTTTCACGCTCCTTAAATATGTGATCTGTGACCAAGTAGAAGATGAAAAGCTAAGCTTGCCATCCCTAGAGCCATGAGGTTGACATTTTGACTATAGATAGTTAGGTTTTGGTATCATTATTTAATAAAAAATAAAACGACCTGGGTTTTTATGTGACAAGTCTCAACAATATATGAACATGAACATCATCAGGTTGATGCAACAGCATTTTAGTTTGTGCGAGAGTTGAGCAATATCAGAAGTTTGAGAGCTGTGGGACTGTATGTGGGCACAAAAAGTGTAGCTAGTCAAAAAAAAAGTCAGTCACTGAGTTCTCCACCAGGACATGTTGTACAGCGTGGGTGGTGGTGCCATCAGCGAATATCATTATCAAATGTAGAAGTGTTTCAACAAATACAGAAGTTTGGTGATGAATCATTAATCAGACAAAGTCTGTCCCTCACACTTGGCTTGTTCACTGTGCTGCTTTTCTTTGATGAAAACTAATTAAAGTGCTTTTGAAGATGTGTCCTAAACCCTTGTTTTTGTCCCAGTCCGGCTCTTACCGCAGCTACTTGGTGCACGAGGACTTGGTGGTGACGGAGCGCATCGATGACATTAAGCCTCTGGGCTTCTACATCCGCCGGCTGTGTGAGGGGAAGGACACGTACAGAATGCAGCGCCGTTCCACCCTGCCAGGTCTGGATGGACTGTACAGCTAAAACTGATATTTTGTCTCGTTTGTTAAGCTTCAATAATATTAAAAGTACCATAAGGTGTTTCCTTTAAGTTGACATCATCCTAAACTAGTTGATATACTTGTGAAATTGTGGAAAATACATTTTATTTAACAAAATGCTGTTAAAATTAAGCTGTCGCTTTGTTTGGGGAACAAGGCTACAATTCTGACACTGCTGCTTGTGCCCAGACGGGACATTTTAGAGGCAGTTTTAAACATATTTGTCTCGGAACGTCATAGAGGACTTTTGTCTTAGCAGTTGTCAACTTGCATTTAATAGCTGACATCTATATCAAACCAAATAACACAACCACACTTCATCTTATTCAAGTTGAGCTAATAGACGTTTTGTTTTCAGTTCCACTTTGCTAAGTATCGTTTCCTCCACGTTAAACCACATAAAGCTGAATTTAACGCTACTATTTTTAGTACCTGTCCATACTGAGGACCACTTTAGAAGGGCTGTAAATAAGTGTTAAGATGTTCAGCTATTGATTTGATTTAGTGTCAGTTTTGCCATTTTAATAATTAGTCGTAATGTTTTTGTCTTGTCAGGTGGAGGCATCCAGAAGCGTTCCGCAGACGAATGCTTCACCATCCACCACTTTGAGAACAAATTTGTGACGGAGACCAGGATCTGCAAGGCTTGATGAGAAAACACGAAGCAAGCGAGCAAAAGAGACATAGAGAGAGAGAGTGTGATAGGGAGAGAGACAGACAGGCAGACAGAGAGAGTGGGAGGAAGTAGGCGAAGGAGGGAACAGCTTTCAGCAGAAAGTTACTTTTGTAAAATACTCAGTTTTTTCCTCCCCTTGCTTTATCCCCTGTGATAAGTGAATTTAATTTACAGCGTTATACAGCCTGACCCCTCTCCTCTGCGGTTTCCCCCTCTTGCTAAAGTACTCACTAGTTGGTCTTGTACTAATAACCAGCGTTACCCTGCTCTTTAAAGATATACTAAGTTTAATTTGTTATGTTGGTTTCTGGTGCTGTAGCTTCCTTTTTAATTATCTAGTCGTCGTTAATGTGTTGCAACATCCACTCACCTCCGGATGAGAGTTGTTAGTCTTACTACTGAATATCCTCGTGATACTGAGAAGTCATTCATAACAGTCCTGTCTGTGTGTCAGCCTACTGTTCCCGCTTTTAATGGGGTTATTAGAGCAGACAAGATCTACTATATGTTATAGTGTGATATAGCACAAGTCACCCAGGAAATGTATGGTACAGCTGCAGTACGCATGTAACATGGTCGTCTGTCTGGTCCCAGAGACGCTTGAGCCCCGAGCTCTCAGGCACCTTTGTAGATATTTCCCAGAGTGCCCTGCTGCTCCAAGGGGCCACTGCTGTCCTGCTGTGTGAAGATTTTATGTAATTAACGGTTTCATACCTGACAGGGCAGTCAGTGACTTTGTTTGTGTAGAGACTTCATTTGTGACAAAAAAAACTTGAAGGATTGTTGACGAGCTAAAGAAGTGAATGAGCTATATGGAAATTTGACCAAATTGAAGAAGTATTCTTTATGTCCGTTTTTTAATTCTTATTTATGAATCCTATGTAGCTTTACAGGTTGCTACAAGTTTCGGAAAACTCTATGTTTAAAACTGTCACAGGAACAATATGTTTGTAAAAATTGTCATTGATTTTGAAAGCCCTTAAGCTCGAAGGTATTAAAAAAAAAATGGCCTTTTGCCAAATTACTTCAAGAGATTTTCATTTGTTTGCACTCAATGCCTGCACAGAAAGACAATCAGACAGGAAATGTGTGTGTAAAAATGTGTTTTCTGTCTAACAGTGCTAGAAAAATAGATACAAAAATAATGTTGTGTGCAGCTACTGAAATTAATTAACTTTGTTGCTGAATAAAGTTGCATTTCTTTACCTACTGAATATTCTGTCTCTTCACTTATGATTCCATTTCCAGGACCACCACCCTTCCTCTGCGAGCTGTAAGCTTATCCTACGATGCAAACAACTGGAACATTTAGCTGGTTTAAGGGTTTGCCTGTATTCTGTATTGTTGCTTTTTAGAGATGTTGGCACTGATGACATGTTCATCATTCATAACAGGAACGGCTCACTCTTCACCAAGGTGGTACACATTTTGAAAGAACAGACATATTTTATTAAAATATAAATAGAAAAATAGTTGGCCTTTTTTAAACTGAATCCCTTTTTCTTTTCAATAAGGGATTACTCTGCAGAACTCCGGGCCCACCTCGAAATGGAACGCAAATCCACGTAATCACACACTTGTGAATAAATAACATTTACATGCCATATAATGTTGCAGAAAGTGTTGTTTGTGTCGCTTATCGATAATAAATGAAAGATCCTGAGCATAATTATGTTCTACAGTTTTAAGTCCATCACGTTCATGACAAGCTCCACCAATAAAACTATAGGTTACTTACGTAACCCCAGTTCTCAGAGTAACATGAAGTGAGATGTCTCACTGGGATGCGGAAAACATGTACAATCTGTTAAAACTGTAACCAAGAGAGTATGTATTGTCAAGCAGCAAATAACGTGTAAGCTACCAAACTTATGTTTGCGAAGGTCAGCAAGCTACGTTAATGTCGTTAGCAAATGAAGCACACCAGTCAAATATACCAAACCTTTAATGTATCCATTTAAAGTGGACCTATCATGCTATATTGAAAAATATATTGTAGGGCCATACCTATACAAAACATGTCTGTGAAGTTTTTTTTTCAAAATACCAAACAGTTCACCCATTGTAGCCATGCCTCATACTGCTCAAACCCCTCTTTTGCAGCCCTGTTAGAGAAACGCGGATGTTGGGTCCTTAGCTTGAAAAAAAAAAGAAGAGGAGGCGGAGCTAATGCTTGATCAGAATTCTACCGGAGATAAAGTTAAATTCGGTTGTGATAAAACGCCATCCTGTTTAAACCATGTCAAGGATTATTTCTGAAATAGTATGGAGTTCAAATGCTTTTTCTCTTGCAGGTTTATCACAAGGTGAGTTTTTATTTTATTTCCTGCTTTTTAAACACATGTGCTCTTCAGTACAGGTTAGCTCTGAGTGTTAGCGTGGCTTGCTAATGTAAACAAAGAGGCGATTACGTCCAAAACATGTCAGGCATTGTTTCTGATAGCAACTTTCTGTGGGTCTGCCGACGTCACAGCGGATGGACATCTGTATCCGCTCGTTGTACACCCGAGAGAGGGTTTTATTTTCTGACGCTGCGTGAGTTCCCCGACGCACCGGGGACACATATTTATGTATAAAAGACATCACAAAGTGCATTTTGCATGATAAGTCCCCTTTAAGCTAATGTTGACATTGCTAACAACATAAACATGGCTAGCTAATGTAAGCAAACTTATAGGGTTAGTTCATAATCATTTTCTGCTTAACTTACAGTTAGTCTTACAGTTGGTAGTATAGTAGGTTATGTTATTTGTGTTTTTTTCGCAGGTCATGGGCTAATTCCAACTAACTAACTCACGCAATCGTAACCTGATGATTGTCCTCTTCCATAAATGTCTTCCTTCTTTATGCTAGGGCCCCGTAAGAGTCCGTTGAGGGAGGTGGGCCCAGTCTCAAGTTATGCAGCTAGACCCTGCACTTACCAGTTTTCACGTTAACTATCTATCCTTAGATTTAGGAGTGTATATCTATCTCAGGTCCTTCATCAATAAGAGAGGTCTAAGAGTTTCTAGTTCTCTGTATTCTCTCCTCCAGTCATACAGGACAGGCGCCTGTTGAAAGTCTCTGGTATCTCCGGCTTGCTCAGTCGCCTCCAGAATTCATCAGTTGTGAAATAGTACATGAGTGGGTCCAGGCTACAGTTCAGGCTGGCTAGGCAGAGGGTGACGGGGTGACATCGCAGAATCAAGTCCCTTAAGGCGCAGCTGCTCAGGGCATCAGCTTTAACCAAGAAGTCCAGGGGCATGGTGACATGGTAAGGAGCAAAGCACACTAGGAAGACCACAGCACAGCTAAGCACCATCCGTAACGCCCTCCTCTTCTCCCCCCGGTCAGGAATTGCCCACGCCGTGGAGTCCCCGAAGACTGCCAGCAGTCAGAAAGGTGCAGCCTAACACTAGGATAAGAGGAACGATGAAGCCCATTAGCTCTGCGAGGATGAGGAGCACCCAAGCGGCTTGAACACTGACCGTCCTCATTGGCAGCTCAGAGAAACACAAGTCTGGACGACTTGAATTAACGTCTGTTTCATTGTTGGGGTTTCCTCAGGAGAGGAAAGGCAGGCAGCATAGGCAGACTAACAGCCAGCCAACGGCACATATTACCAAATCTCCTCTTTGCTTGGACGAGTTGAACCTCAGCGGACGCATGATGAGCTGACAGCGACGCACGCTGACACACACCAGGAAGAAGATGGAGGCGTACATGTTAACGTACTTGAGATAGAAGCATATCATGCAGAGAGGGTGACCAAAGGGCCAGGTGTCGGTGAGGTAGTAGTAGATCCGCAGAGGCAGCGAGAGCACCTGAGGAGAGCAGAGGGTGTCAAGATGGTCGCAGAAGAAGAACTAAAACAACATGTAGACAACACATTTGATTTGACTCCCACTGAACCTTGGAATGCATTTTTTTAAAGCTTCTCAAAGATTAGTAATTATTTCTTTATACCTGGAAGATACATTTCCCTTGGAGTTATTTGGTAAATAAACCATCAACTTGAGGTTGTCCACAACTTTGCAAACTTGTAAAATAAATGTTTTGTCATCTTTAAAGACCATTACATTTAGTTTAACCTTTCTTTTTATAAACAGAATACAAACAGACCCTATGACAGTTACAGCATCTTTGAAAATACGATATGGGCCACTGATTTTGATGAAATGACTGTTTATCAGATTTCACAAGACAAGAATTAGCTAGCTAGCGCAACCTGCCACGCCTCACTCCCAATCGTTTTAAAACTTGTTTGCTGTATAGATGGACCTTTAGTTAGTGGCTGTAACTAACTCAAATTGCACCAATCGGGAATCAGAAAACTTTGACAAAAAATGTTTATGATTGTTGATGAATACATTCAACACTACAACATGCCCTTATATCTGCTTACACCTACATTATAGTGTGTTGTAAAACATATTCAGTGTTATATAATCATTAGCCGCAGAACACAGGAAATATCAACGGTAAAAAGTCTTTTTTGTCAGATAAGATTAAAGATGAGACAAATTGCGGATACATATATAAATACTCCGACTGGCACAATCCAATAAAAAACATAGAATCTTTACCTGCAGTAGGTCGGCCACAGCCAGGTTAATCATGAACACCACCCCCTTCTTGGTTTCTCTGATGTAAACCTTGAACACCCAGAGTGCCAGCACATTTCCCAGCAGGCCTGGCGCTAAGATCACACTGTACACCACCGCATACAGTTGGTGCTGGTACGTCCGCAGATATTCAGTGCTTGCACAGTTGTTGTTGTTGGAAAAGTTCATCTTAAGCCAAGGGCTGTTCACTGTTTACTGTAAGGACAAGCTGCCTGGTGCATTCACAGGATGCTTGATTCAGAAACGATGCTTAAAGCGTGGGAACGGAGGTGTTTGAGCGCCAATGCTCTCCATTATGGTGCGTAGGGGTTTGCTCTTGTGTGAAGTATATTAATGGTCCAACGTTGATAGACTCTTGATGTTTCAAACTGCAATCGATCCCAGTTACACGGCACTCTAAAAGAGAAGAAAATAAAGGGTTACTAAATCATCCTATACCAGCATCATGTTTTACATATTGCGTGAGGCATCATGTAAAAACATTTTGCCTCTCATAAACACTTCTCATTTTACAGCATTGGGTCCCAACCACACTTTAGCTCGACAGGCCACCTGTTGAAACGGTGCGCAACATAAAAAGCCTTTTGTATTTGATTGCATCTTTTGCAGTGGCGTTTACAGTAAATATGCAAACCCACAGAGAAGTTGATGCTACAATGTCCCACATAGTGTTCACTGTATCTACACCTGCACAACAGAGTACAATGAGCCAGTGTGCAACGCCTGGAGCAAGGCGTCAGTGAAACTGGTGTGGTTAGGCAGTCACAGCAACACAAACAACACTTTTTGTGTTGAATTCACAGTTTGAATCAGTGACACCTCCATGATCCTCTTTGACATGAACATTTAAATGATGGTAATTCAAGTGCTATACATTTGAAGGTAGCCTTACACCCGGCAACATTGATTTCTTCAAATGGAAATGTATAGTCATATCTGACAGGCTTTGTAGGTGTCACCCACCCACTGCTGTAAGCATGAGTAGGTCTACACTGGTTCAGCTGGGGTTTTCCCAAAAATCTTGGACTCATTAGTCATTTCTGACCTGATTTAGTTCAAACTACACAACTTAAAAACTGTCATTCCAAAATAAGAAAGAAATATTTTTGTTTTTATTGTTCTGGTCTTTCACTTCCAAAGCTTTTTACAGACCATTTTTAATCACAGGGAGTTTAGAGAAGCTTGTCGAGCAGCAAGGAAACTATGTGACATAAATGGTACTGATGACTACATTTGAATATCTGCCCTAAACTTTTGAGGATGTACTTAAACATCGTCAAATACACAGTCAGTATGTTACTGTTTTAGTATTTTTAAGAGAAGTCACACTACAAGCATAGTTTTCAGATCCTTTACGTCAATGGAAATAAGTAAATGGCCTGCTTTACAAATAAAATAAATGAAAGTAGTCGTTCTGCTGACTGATGTAGCATTATTCAGTAGATCACCAGAAATAAGAAACTAATACTGATGCAACAATTTGGAAGCCACCTTTTTCTGTTACGTAGTCAAGTTAGGTGGTTCCCATTGTAGGGATCAGGCCCCTCTTAAGGGTCACAAGATAGATCTAAGGGTGTATTTATGGGAGAGGGAAGGAACAACAATCTGCCTCATACCTTTTTAAAATAACATTTGAAGCCCAAACACTTGGGCTTTGTTATAAGAGGTCACAAGCCAAAAAACTTGCAAACCACTGGGTTTAACCATTAACAATGTTGTGTTTCATAATCTTATACCATGTCTTCTTCACCTACGAAATGTTACTCAAGGAGACACAAAACAAACTATTAAAAGACACAAGCCAATCACAAAGAGACTCACAACTATTAAAAACAGACACAAATCAACCACAAAACAATCAACAAAGACAACCACTTAGGGACACAAAACAACTGCAAAGACACACAAAACAACTGCAAAGACACACAAAACAATTGCAAAGACACACAAAACAACTGCAAAGACACACAAAACAACTACAAAAGGTCTCCAAACAGTAGTAGTAGTTGTAGTTTTTCAGTTCACCTACAAATAGACACAAACAATCACAAAGAGACTTAAAACTATAAAAATAGACTCAAATCAACCACAAAACACTCAAAAAAGGACACAAGACAACTACAAAAGGACTCCAAACAAACTACAAAGAGATTAAAAAAAACAGAGACACCAACCAATTAGAAAAACAACTACAAAAAGACACATAACAAGAAAAAGACTGTTTTCTTGCCTTGTAGAGGTGGTGGCTGTCTGTACACAGGGGCCAATGATCGCATGATATGCTGATGGCTTTACAAAGTTGAATAACTTCCAAAAACTGAGCAAAGTGAAATGTCCTCATAATTGTACTTAAGTACTTCCTAGGGTCGAGGTTACCAAGATGAAGAATTTAGAATGTTTAAAGATATAAACTAGCCTCTTCTCCCTGATAGCTTTTATACTACTTCACAGCACTGAGGAACATGTCCCAGTGGACCCTCAGCTATGGCAAGCCATTTGCCTTCAAGCCTCACTGACCTTTGACCTATGTGTGAATCCCCTGTCATTACCCTCACCCTGCACGTACAAAGTGCTTCTCTCATTGGTAGTGTGTTAAGATGAATCAGGCTATTTTATTTCCTTCTTTGGGCTTATTGTGGTGTTGTCATGGTGTCATGGTCATCTCTGGATCTTGTCGAGCTATATTATTGTTTTTCGTCCAAGAGTTGCACTCCTACCTTAGGATTCAGAAGTGTTATTCATCAGATCTTGCCAATGGAAAGGCATGGTTCCATCCTCCGTGATTCACCCCTTTGTGGGCTGTTGGTGCCTTTTAGCTTTTCCGCTCTGATATGACATCTTGCCTCGTTGATCAGCACCCAGGTCCCTCCACGTGTTGCTGAATCAACACACAAAACATGTCATGATCCCTATAAAGGAACAGCCTGACACTGCCTGACACTGGCCTGCAAACACACATTCACACCCTCAACATAACACACATTCCTCACGTTGGGGAAACATGCGAGGGTCCCCCATGAGGCATGACTCCACTCTGAAGACATCCAGATGTTACAGCCTCTCACACAAACGCTGTTTTTTAGTTTTATAGGAATAGACAATGAATATCTCACCTCTGTCTTCAGGCTCGAGGCTGCGTCGCATCAAACTGCAGGAGGGTGAAGCATCAGTCATTACATCCCCCTTTCTCCTCCCCCCTTCTAACACTATATTCTTTCTGTCCCGCCTTTTCTTTTCTCTCACGCTAATCACGTTTTCTGCTCCTCCTATCCAATTTCTACTCAGTTTTTTCTTCTGTATACACAAGTCATTTCCTGCTTTGTGTACTCATGTTCCATCTGTACCTCTCTCTCTGTCTGTGTCTCTGCTGTACTGGGGGTTTCATCACACACAGGGCTTCCTGTGAGTGTGGGGGTGTGGTTTACAATAATCTTGACACCATTACTTCTGCTATTATGGCAACTTTTCCCTTTGTGAGAAACATTGACAAGACATGCATTTCATTTTGATGACAGATGAAAAGATTGTTACATGACTGAGTATCAACACTTAAAATAGACACAGACTTTTTTGGGGGGCCTTTTTAAGCTGTTTTTTGTGTCTTTCTCTTAGATATATCCCAATACATTATCTTCATTATTTTATACAATAAAATGGCGTAACATATTTTGGTTGTGTGAATCAGACAACTGGCATTTCTTTCGAGATGGGTTGCATTCATCTGCCAGAGAGGGGGGTAGCATCAGACTTTGGTCTAGCTATTGCAATAGGAGCTGCGGGGGTGGGGAGAGGGTGACTTTTCAGGTTAGAAGCCGACCTCAGAGCCTGGCAGTTACTCGTTTTCGAAACCGCTGCAACTGCCTTCACCCACTTTGCATCGTGAGAGGAAGTTCAGGCAAAATGAGTAAAAATGAGACCTGTTTATGCAAGCCCATACGGAAACACCAGATACAATGAGATAAGAAAAGATAGGCGCTTTTTATTTACAAAACAAGCATGCAATTTACATACAGTCTTGACATTGAGGGAATAGCTTATTTGAAGTTGTTGCATTTTGACAGAAGACAGGCAACACACTGTAGCTTATATACACCGGGGCAACGTTGATCATATTTCATCAGATATTGTGTGAAGGGTCATTATGAAGCACGCTCATCTTCATGGTTTGTTTGTCCTCACAACTATGTCCTCCGGGAGGTTCTTCACACCGAGGTCAAGGCTTTTCTGGTCAGTTTGTGTTCAGACAGCGGAGATACGGGCAATCCTCCCTACGCCCGACTTGGATCTTGTCAGTCTGTTAAAAGTTCAAAAATGATCTGTGTCCGTTGTGTCATTCCTTCAGTGAAATGACTTTTAACACTTTCTCTAACTCCCATGTCCATAATGCATTATAAACCAACTTATAAAGAGGTATAATCTGCTTATAGCATTGTATAATTATTGTTTTAAGCACACATAGATACTTTACAACAACAACAATAACTCATTTAAAAACATTTTATAATTTTGAAGACTTATAAGGTCAAGTAACTTAGTACTTCATAGTTGCTTGTCACTGTTTCTTGCAAGGATCATATTGTATTACAATTATCATAGTTGTAATACATTACATTATTTTTTACAATGTATTGTAATCACTGTTATAAGGAATTATAATGTGCTCTTTTAGTGCATTACAGCATTTCTGATGAATAGGCAGATATAATGATCATTGTTTGCTTTAAGTTAAGTATTTAAAAAAACACAGTCATTTATGTTGAAACCTGAAACCTTTTGAAAAATGATGCACATTTACATTTAACTAATGTAATTCCCATCAAATACTCACATTAAACACCGAATTGACACATTAACACATTATATACAGCCACAGTTAAATAATACATTGTTTCAATCATCGGATGTTTTGAGACCACTGTTGGATTTCTGTTATGACTTGTTCAAGACATACATTTGTTTCACAAACGTAATGATATGTTTCACTTTGAGCACTTGTGGTAACAGCTTGTGTTGTTATATTTCTATGTATACCCCAAGAGTTTCCAAATGTCCTTTTAAGCCACATATGTTCACTTAGAGTTACTATCAATAGCATTGTAATGCATTAAAAGAGAGATTATAATGCCTATAATATACATATTAATATTACAACTATGATAATTATAGAATAACTATGACCCTTGCAACCAAATAACAGTTATGAAGTATTGTGATACTTTATAAGTAATTATAAAATCCTTTATAATGTGTTATGATGAATATTATAAAGCATTATGAATGCTTATTATGAGTGCTTATTACAATTATAAGGTGCTGTAAACATATCATAATGCTCTAAATCTGTTTAAAAATGCATTTAATTCATGGTGAGAGTTACCAAAAACCGACTATCTTTGAATAATGCTACTCCCTCTCTGAGCAGCTACTCTCCATGCTCAGCAGTCTCTCCGGTGCGGGGCGCGCGGTGGGGGAGCTGATGGGGGAGGAGAGCAGCGAGGCGGTGAAGGAGGAGCTGCGCCTGGTGAGGTGCAGCCTGAACTCGGCCGTTAGAAAGTAATAAAGCAGAGGGTTGAGGCAGCAGCTCAGGCTGGCCAGGCACAGAGACACCGGGTGGAACTGACTCACCGCCAGCCGGGTCGCACAGTGGGTCACTATGTCCTGCGACACCAGCAGGTAGAGCAGGAAGTTGAGGTGGTAGGGGGCGAAGCAGAACAGGAAGAGCGCGGAGCAACTCAGCACCATCTGGAGAGCGCGCCGCTTCTCCGCCTTTGACAGCTTTTCATGAGAGGTATCCGTTGGACAGTCGGAGATGAAGGACTGGAGTCGGCTGCGTGCCGTGGAGTTGAGCCCGGTCAGGTTCTGCTGATCCTGGGTGTGTTGTTGGAAGAGAGACCGGGCTATTCGGATGGAGCTGAAGCAGATGCAGGTCAAAGGGATGATGAACCCAAAAAGCTCAGCGAGGCCCATCATGGCGATGGCCAGGTACGGGGACAGGCGACGCATGGGCAGGTCTTTAAAACAGCCCAATTTGGTAGGGATGGAGCCTCTGCTGAGATTGATGTAAACTGAGGGATGCTGGCTAGAATTGGCAGACAGAGAGTAGGACATGTTGTAGACTGTCTGTGTGCTGATGGCGTGGCTGGAGGAGCTGCTGCTCCGCATCAGGATGAAAGGCGAGCAGGCCAGGCCGACCACCACCCAGACTATGAGGCTGATCAACAGGTCATAGCGCCGCCTCCAACTGCGGGCGGAGAACGGGTTGAGAAGGAAGACACACCTCTGCATGCTGATACACACCTGGACACAAAAAGAAGATGACATAAAAAACACACAGCCAGGGGATTGAACCAGTGCTCTCCTAGTCCAAATATCAGCACACTATGCAACTGAGCCACAGCCTCCCTTAGTGCAATGCTATGTTGTCTAGTATCCTTGCGCTACTCAATGATAACTTTCACTTTTACTCTTGCTTACCAGGAACACTATAGCGGCATACATGTTGAGGTATTTGAGGTAGAAGCAGAATAAGCAGACGCCTCGTCCAAAAGGCCAGGTGTGTGTGAAGTAATAATAAATCCTGAGGGGCAGAGAGAGGATGTGGGCCAGGTCGGCCAGCGACAGGTTAATCATGAAGATCACCGCCTTGGTCTTCTTACTGTGGAGCAACATGCAGGAGAGTTAGCCATGACCAGAGCCTGTTTGAGGCTCAATATGTGTGTGTGTGTGTGTGTGTGTGTGTGTGTGTGTGTGTGTGTGTGTGTGTGTACCTAATGTGTCTGCAGAGGACCCAGAGGGCGGTGGTGTTGAGCAACAGGCCGGGGATGAAGAGCATCAGGTAGAAGTAGGTGTACATGGTGTCCATGCGTTCTTCCCAGTTGGTCATGTTGTGTCCACATAGTGAGGAGGAGTCGTTCAGGGACTCCTTCCACGCTTCAGATGTATTCAGAGTCATTTTGTCTCTCACACACACTGGTGTCAAAAACTTTTCCTCCAATCAATCCTTCATCCTATCACCAATGAACACCTGATAGACAAATAGTAGAGTCGACAGGTCATGGTATTGATAGTATACACATTATTTTCCAACCTAACATTTTGAAAGAAATCCCAATTCATTGGTACCATTTCTTGATTAGAAACACTTTATAAAGACTTCATAAGTTGACAAATTGTCCTAATTACCTTCGACTTAAAGGATATTTTTTAAACTTTTGCTTGGTTTGTTTGCTTTTGAGCAGAATTACGGAAAACTGCTGGCCTGATTTTCATGAAACTTAGTGGAAGGCTGTAGGCCCTAACCCTAACCAATACAACTATGTAGTGGATCAGAATCACGGGGCAGTTCTTTTTCACTAATGGAAACAGACTTGGTGGTGGTCTGTACTTTCTGCTGACCGCCATCTTTATCTATAAATCATTTGTAAACTACAGGTGCCCTTACCAGGACCACACTTGGGGTGCCAAGTTGTAAAGAAAACAGTCTGGTATTTGTGGCTTGTCAGAGGAACAGAATCATTTCGACCCAACCCAACGCTAAGGTCAGTCACTGTTTCCCATTTCTCACAGTTTCATCTTCAGTTAGTCAGGAAGACCCTCCCAATTAACTGTTAGGTCACATCTGGAGACCGTTCCTTTTTTTAAGCAACTGATTCTCAAATGCAGACAGAAGGTATGCGGGGTCATATCTGCAGTTTCATTTGTGAGGATGCCATAAATAAAGGGGTGGTTATGGGTTTCACTTTCTAGAAAGCCATCACTCTATTGTTAAAGATACAGTTATAGTCATATACTGTACTACTAAGACATAGTAAAGGGGTTTTCCAACTATCCACCATACTGTAGATGCAGTTGGAAATATTAAAGATGTATTTTGGCCCTGATGTTGGGGTCCAACAGTGCATTGGAATGGGCATCCTTTTAAAAATAAAGAGCTACAATCTAAAAGCATGTAGTCCTATTGCTGGATGATAAACAGCAGCCAAGTGATGGCTCATTGCTGAATGTTTTTTCAAATATTAATAAAGTCAATAGGTGAAATTTACTTATTAGAAAGTCTTTATAATATAAATACGTCAAATTCCTGTATTCACAAATGTAACAGAACCTTTACCTTGTTTTGATATAGCTAAATGGTGGCTTTATGCCAGATTAACCATGGTTATGAATCATACTGATACAGAGTGCAATAAATCAGAGATGTCTCTGTCTGGCCTAAGATTGCAGCAGGAAATGTGTGGAAGCAGGACGAAGCATTTACTGCTTATCACTGAACCATCGCCCTTCCTTCTGCCATCAAGACGACGCCACACCCTTCCTCTGCCGGCCCCAGAGGGGGAAGAGAGAAACGGCGACAGTTTTTTTTCTGCTTTACTGTTACT